CTAAAAGAGACAGCTGAAATAATTGAACATGGTTGACTCTTAAGACAAAGAATGGAAGAAGGCATTCAGGGGACTGTTGTGGTTTTTGTGATAAGCCTTGTAGAGCTATTGACTCTTTACATTCTGTGCATTCTTTGATAAAAAATAAAAAACTTTTTAAAAAATAAGGGGTAATTCAGATAAGAAAAAATGACAAGGATGAGTTACCATTCCCATTATAAAGAAACTCAAAATAAAATACTTAAAAATTAATACAAAATAAGAAATTAAGATTCATCTCAAGTATAATTTCCTAAACATTCAAAAGAGACAGTCATGAAATTCCATGTTCCTCTCCCTTTTTTTCCCCACCCATCCTCACTCTCTGCTCACATGTTTGTGCTGCTTCTCTGTAAGTTGTAGGTTATAGGGGAAGTTCAACTTAGAGTTGGCTTCTACTTGAATAGAATGACTAGAAAATGTGGAGGCCAAGTTTGAGCTGTATTGTCTAAGCTAGTCTCTGGGTTGTCCAGCTGTGTGTCTAGTTTCTCTTTGCTTCTCCTCAGAGTCTTAGAATATCTTAAGTTCAGCTATTCTGCCCTGTCCCCCTCCCCTGCTGGCTTCCGGATCCAGGCGCATCTGTCTGTCCACCTGGCCCTGACACATTCCTTTCTCTGACCTTGCTGCCTACATTCGCTTTGACCATCCTCTCCGCTTCCTCAGCCTAATTCTTAATTCCTGGCTCTCCACCTCCTCATCTGAACGTGGCTAAATCCACTTTGGAGAACCAAGGCGAATGGAACTGCCTGGGAGGAATGTGGAGAATCTGTAGCTCTGTCCTTTCTTCATTCTTGAGAGCCCAGCTGCCAGCTGAGGGCAGCATGTGGGGCAGTGTGTGTGTGTGTGTGTGTGTGTGGGTGGGGGNGGTGTGGGGCAGTGAGGGGTTGGGGGGGAGTGAGGAGGAAAAGAGAGCACAGCCGTCTTGGACTCCGTCATTTGCCCTGGGAATGCTCATGTGTATTTTTGATACCCTGGTGTCGTCTTTCTTTTATTTGTTCTGCATGTCTCTTAGATACCGCTCTAAAATTTAAAACCCAGAGGCATCTTTCCAGCTTCCTTGCATGAGCAGTGTTTTGACCTCTTAAGAGGCCGTGGCCAGACTTCAGCTCCTGGTGATCTTACATGAAGTGACATTTGCTTCGCTTTTAGACTGCATTCCACACCAATCTGCCCGGCCCTGCACTTTATGGGCTCACTCCTGTTGTCTTTCAACATATGGAGTACTGTGAGATAGTGTGAGTTTGAATCTTGTCAGGGAGGCTGATTAAGCCACCGTCAGGGACAGCGATCCTATGTGTGAAATGTCCCAGGTCTTCCTGAACAGCTCTGGGAGCGACTGGGGGTGGTTGGTGCTTCCCCATTGGAGGGCAGAGAGACCTTGCTAACAAAGCAAACACATTGTTTTTCTATCACGGGCTGGGTCCGTGGTGGTAACATTTGGCACGTTGAGTAACAGGGAACATAGATAACTGTGAACAGATGGGCAGCTATTAAAAGATCCAGGGGCTTTTATCATTTCTCAGTTGGCCTTCACCCACCTACAGGATACCCAGTTCCCTTGTTAGATTATGTAAAGAGCTCGAATAAATTTCTTCTCCCTCCTTTTTTTTTTTTTTTCAATTGCGATGGAAGCAAAAGCTCTGACGTTGAAGAAAAGAATAGATGAGAAACTTCTAATTTTGAATCCCCTTGGGATTAGATGCTGATTTCAGCTGCACACAGAACACTGCCCCATATTTTGAAAGAGTAGCTGCTGGCAGTTTCAGAGGAGATGACTTTCCAAAATAGACAGTGAACTCCCCTTTCCGTATCTGGTGACCATCTGACATTTGGGACACAGAATTACAGAGCCATCCACATGTTTCGATACGTATAACCTCGCTGTTAAAAATTGGCAGTGGCATGTTATTATTATGCTATGCTCAGAACTGATGGAATACAAAATACAAAAGAGAATGCCTTACCTGGTTCCCAGAAGCAGTGGAAAGTATTTACACATCTTAGAGCAATAAAATTTCTCCACACTCTGGGGAAGTGTTGTCTCTTGTGTATGAGCATGCTAGTCTTCTTTGGCTCAAAATGATACCTGGAGAGTTCATAAGAGTAGAAGCCGGACTTCCCTGGTAGTCCAGTGATTAAGACTTTGCCTTCCAATGCAGGGAGTGTGGGTTTAATCTCCGGAAGCTAAGATCCCACATGCCTCATGGCCAAAAACCCAAAACATGAAACAGAAACAATATTGTAACAGCCTCAATAAAGACTTAAAAAGAAAGAGTGAGAAGTCCGGATACTGATTAAAATGAGACATGCCCCTCTGTCTGGGGCAGCAGCCTGATTTTGCCCAAAGCAGTCATAGGTTGGTACGATCAGTTATGGTACATATACCTGAATCTGATGAACCTGGCCAAATTAGATTGGGTTCATCAGAGGTGGCCTTAATGACGTTACATTCCAGGGCCAGTAATTTTAAAGTATATCCTGTGTGGGCCTCCTCGTGGTCCAGTGGGAAAGAATCTGCCTGCCAGTGTAAGAGACCCAGGTTGGATTCCTGGGTCAGGAAGATCCCCTGGAGGAGGAATGGCTACCCACTCCAGTATTCTTGCCTGGGAGGTTCCATAGACAGAGGAGCTATGGTCCATGGGGTCACAAAGACTCAGACACGACTGAACGACTGAGGACGCACACGCACGTACACTAAGTGTAGCTATCAAAGATCTGTTTGGAAGCAGGAAGGGTAGATTCGCAGCCCACTTATATTCTCAGTCCCTTAACTTCGAAACCAATTTATCCCAGCCAGGAGTGCTGGGTAGCTAAAGATCCATGTGTCCAAAAACAACCCCAACAAAATCTAAATTTTTTTCTAAAAATAACCAGCGGAAAATGGAAATAACCATTTTTATTATTTTATTTATTTATTCATGTATTTTTTATTGTTATTTTTGGCTCTGCTGGGTCTTCGTTGCTGTGCATGGGCTTTTTCTAGCTGCAGCGCGTAGACTTAGTTGCCCCGTGGTATGTGGAATCCTCCCGGAACAAATATTGAACATGTGTCCCCTGCACTGGCAGGGAGACTCCCAATCACTGGACCGCCAGGGATGTTCTCTCATTCTTATTATTTTAAACTAAAACCTACACTATTAAAAAAATTTAATTTAAAACAATTCATCTACAAAAACACTGAAACCAATGATAATAAGTAGAAGACAGTTAGCTCTTGAAGGGAATGGCATGTGTTGCCAAATGATAGAGTTTGATAAATGCATACTTCTTCTGTGCTGGGCTCTTTGGTTTAAGATAATTGAGTAAGCAAGTGTTATCACTGGGTTTAGTGTCCCCTGTAGAATTATACTTTAACAGAATTATTGGAAATAGATAAAACATGTTGAAACCATTTAGCAGGAACGTTGGTAATGTTAATTATGAGATATATGTTCATGGGCTTTTTTCTTTTCCTTATTTATTAAATTATGAATGTATGATACATTTATAGGAGACTTGGAAAATATAGCACACGGTTACATACAGTTCCTATATATTACAATTATTTTTTTAGTAGATAAATTGGGATTTTTAGTTGGAGTTTGAATATCAAACTCTCAAAAATTAACAGAATGAATACACAGAAAAGTAGAAGGATATAGTAGACCTGAAAAGCACCATGAACCAATTCAACATAATTAAGATTTATAGAATTTTCACACAGTAGTAGGATATAAATTCTGTTCAAGTTCCCATAGACTATAAACTAGGAGACACTGGAACATATCTGGGGACATAAAACAAGGCACAAAATTTTCATGGTCCGAAGGTATTGAAATCATACAGAGTCTGTTCTCTTATCACTATGAAATTATGTTAGAAATCGATATCAAAAGATATTTGAAAATAACCCACATATTTTCAAGTGCAGTGGTTCACAGGCTTTTAAGTAAATGTTATATATCAATTTATCGTAGAATAAAGAAGCATACATGGAGACACATGATAACAGTATAAAGAGAGTAAATATTTGTGTATTGCAATATGATTCTTATAAACATCTCCTGGAGAAGGAAATGGAAACCCACTCCAGTATTTTTGCCTGGAGAAGTCCATGGACAGAGGAGCCTGGCAGTCTGTAGTCTATGGGGTAGCAAGAGTCAGACACAACTAAGTGACTAAGCACACACACACAGTATTCTCAGGGCTTCTTTTGGGAGCCAAGGTGGGTGTTTTTCAGTGGGTCAGATATTATATAGTCTGTGGTTATAAATTGTTATTTGAAAAGCATCTTGAGGCAGCATTATCAAGTTTGCTGGTAAGGAGCAATGAAAAGTCTGAGTCTGACCTGACGCTGACATACTCCACTCACAGTGTTCCAGCATACTGTCTTACATACTCTTTGAATTTGCTCTATGCAAAACTCTCAACTGGATTTTGCAGTGTTTTTGTTTTTAAAATTGGGATTTATTGTTAATTACATACAATTCAGAAAATACCTGGTAATGGCAGGAGAAAAATATCTATGGTCCCATCACCCATGTTGAACACTGGTGTTTCAATGTATAATCTTCTCTTATAAAAATTTTTTCTACATTGTAGGGGTTTTCTGTTTATATGTATTTTTTATATTCCGATTTTTTTTTTCAGAGTAGTAACTCAAATATTTTTCCTGTATTATTTATTGCATACTCTGTAAATACCAATTGTAATAGCAAAATAAATAAATAAACAAACATCCCTGAATTGAATAGAAAATAAAATAATCTCAATATAATTAGTTTTTATTCTGCTGTGAGTTTTATGTTTTTTTGAATTTCACCTATTTCCCTGACATATAAAAATACTCTCTAAGTAATTAAAGCCATAGCCATTCTGAATAATTTTTATTTTCCTTCTCGCTGCTGTTAAGTTTAATGGTGTCAGCTTGCTAATCCTCCCTGATGCTCACATGGCCTCCATTTGTGCCTGCATTTTCCTAGGATGGCAGAAATGCAGGGGCTCATGGAAAGACTGGAGCGGGCTGTCGGCCGACTGGAGCTGTTGTCTGCAGGGTCACACAGGCCTCCTGGGGACTGCGGGGAAGTTAACGGTGTCAACGGAGGTAGGACTACACAGTTGTCATTACTGGTCTCTTTGTGGTCACTTAACTTTGTTCCCACTATTGGGTTCTCATGGAACATTTCTGTGAACTTCTCCTTTCTCTGTCACCATGACATTAACCAGATGCAAGTGATCCCCCAAAAAGAGAAAAAGAAAGTCTCAATCCACATTCCACAAAAATTACCTCTATCTGTGCCTGTTAACAGCACAATCCATGAACTGAATGTCATTGTTCTGTCATCTCAATGTTTATACTGCTCTTCCACATTCAGTGACTAAATATATTATCTAAGTCATTACCAAAGAGAAGCTAATGTTCTCGATTAGGCTGTAAATTGGAAGAAACTATTATTCTGTACCTTTTAATTTTAAAGAGAACAAGTCATTAAGTATAAGAACTGCAGTTTTGAAGGAAGAGAATCTGATGTGAAACCAAGTATTATTTCGAGGTAGCATGATCACATCACATTGCTTTACATTTACCGTTCCTCACCAAGTATGTTTTTAAAATTATATGCTAATGCCACACGTTTTTAAAAAGTTAAAAAAAGAGTTTAAAAAATTATGTGATCAAACGTAAAAAGTTAACATACTATGCATGGCCAACTCTGTTATCTACAGTAATTTTTCCAACTTCTTTTTGTCTAAGGTTGCAGATTTAGCAAATAAGAATACAAGACACCTAGTTAAACTTGCATTTCAGACAGACTACCTTTTTTTGGTAGAAGTGTGTTCTGAATACTGCATGGGATATACTGCATGATACATACTTCCTCTAAAAATTTATTCAGTGTTTATTTGAAATTCAAATTTAAATGGACAATCTGTATTTAATCTGCCAACTCTATTCTTGTCTCACACCCATTTCCTCCTTATCTGACCCATTTTGAATTTTGTCAGTCTTTTGGGGCTTGAGAAAAGGCTTGGGGAAGAGGGGGCTTCAAAAAAAAAAGCTTTCACTGGGCAAGATCCACATTGGTGCTTCTAGAATTTCAGACGTATTTGGAGCTGTGCCTTGCATTACATGCCCTGGGACAGAAATTACTGTGTGAACACAAATGCACAGGCTGGGTTTTTTCCCCCTCCCTGCCCCTCAAACATAATGAAAATTAAAATGCTTTGAATGAATTGAAAGGGGATGTTGTTTAAAGGAAGGCTGCCAGGGGCCTGTAAGTTTTTTCCGCATCAAATGAGACACATCTATGATTTCATTTTAAGCTTCTTTTTGTTAACTATACAGTTGGTATATGAGATTCAATAGACTTTATTTGTAAGGAAATATTTTCACGTTCTCTTCAGTAACTTTGTTTCCTTATGCCTTTGGCATCAGGTGATCAAAAGGCATTTCTGAGATTGCTGCCCACAAATATAAAGCCTGTGAATACATAAAATAAACTCCAACTCCCAGGAGGCTGTGTAGTGTTACTGAGTTAAGGAAAAAAGAAACTCCAATAATTCAAATCTCACTTACACAAAGAGGTACTAGACTGCTCTTTTCACTTTCTTCATAGAAAAAGAATTTCCTGGGAAAATTAATAAGCTAAGCAAATTTGGAAGGCATATACTTAAATTAAATTACTTAAATATTTAAACACAGTTTCTAGTATAACAAATCATTCCAAACTGATTATTAAAGTTCTCTTAAAACAACTTAGCGAGCAATTTACTATCCTGTTGATAGTATGAAATGAAGACAGGTACTTAGTTAGTAGGATAGTTAGTAAAAGGTCTGAATGATGTCCATTCTTAAAGTCTTGTCTTATCCTAAACAACATCATTTCCACTTCTTCTGAATTAGTCAGCTTTGGTAATTTTCTAAATTTTATTTTTAACAAATCCTTAAGGACAATCTTTTCACCTTAAATGTAAACACCATCATTACAATGATGTTATAACTAAAGTTAATTTTTTTAATTTAAAAAGAAATTTGTAGAAGGAGCCAGTTCATTACAGATATATAGTATGCACAGATCAAAGAACTGTCCTAAGAGACTGGTGTTATGTTGTGTTTTATGATGTGTTTTTTGCTCACTTTGACAATCAGGTAAGTTAGGCCCAATACTTGAAGAAATATTTTCATTCCTGCCAATTGACAAGTACTGTGGTAGATGCAGGGGAACCTAAGATGAATTATACACAGTCCTAAATCTTCCAAAATCTTTGGTCTCGATGCATTACTATTCTGGGCCTCAAATGCTTTGATTAAGAGATGCTCAAAGGATGCAGACTGGGGAGAAAGACAGGTCATTAAAGGCTGCCCGGAGGAGGTATGGGCAGAGCTGAGTGATGGAAGGAAATTAAAAAATATTCCCTTTTATCATTGTCCCTTCTGCTATGTAGAGGCCTCCATCACATTTTAAAACCTTTTCCCACTTTAAACACTAGGCAGAGACCCCTCAGACCTCTTCCACGGCAACAAACAGGTTTATCTGTTTCCAAATGGATCCATAAGGAATCTTTGGGTTTGCACATCTTTTATGTTATAGAAGTTGGTACATACTGCATTTTAAACTTAGGATGATAACTCAGCTTCAATACCCTGCTTAGAAGTGAGACTTAGAAGTAGGTGCAGGGAACTCTGAACAACTGTTTCCATCACTCTCTGGACCTGTGGAAAGGGCAACTGGGAACCAGGGAGAAGAAAGGAAGTTTATCCTATGCATTTATGAGCTTGGATATTTCTGTCCAGTATAAGAATGGGACTCCTAAGTTTGACTTTGAATCTTAATAGGCTGTACTGCTTAATTTGTCAGTATTATCTTTCTCAATATTAAAGATGCAGTCAGAGACTTAGACAAAAGTTTCTTTAATGAAAAGTCAGGGAAAGAAATACAGAGCACCTTGGATTGGGCCATTGCCACTTCAGCTTTTGAGTAATTTAGCAGATCAGAATTCATTGTGGATTAGCGCACTGGTCATTTTTACACCTACCCTCAATGTCGCTCTTCCCCTGGGAAGTGAAGGGGGAAGTAAATAAATGTGTGAAATCAACTGTCTTCCTACTTTGCCCAGAGTTCATTATTACCTTTTAATTGTCCTGAATAATCTTGGTAACTATTTGCAAGGTCATTATAGAACTTGGACAGGTCAGTGTAGAAGTAAGTACACTGGCTTTGGATTCAGGAGGTGTGATCAGTTTTTGGATCTGCCACTTACTTGGTGTATAGCTCTTAACAAGTCATATTCTCTGTTTGCATCTTCATTTCCTCATCAGTCAAAGTGTGACAATGCTACCTGCCTCATGGGTTTGGGGAAGAATCAAATGAAAGTATGCAGGTGAAAGTACCTACTCACCAAAGTATGTCAGAGAAGAACGAGTATTGAATATTAATGCATATGTATGGAATCTAGAAAGAAGGTACAGATGAACCTGTTTCCAGGGCAGGAATAGAGACGCAGATGTAGAGGATGAACATGTGGCTCCAGGAGGCAGGGAGGAGAGGGTGGGACAAACTGGGAGATTGGGACTGATGTATATACACTCCCATGTGTAAAATAACTAGCTGGTGGGAACCTGCTCTATAGCACAGAGAGCTCAGCTCTGTGATGACCTAGAAGGGTGAGATTGGATGGGTGAGAGGGAGGCTCAAGAGGGGGATATATGTATACACGTAGCTGATTTACTTCATTGTACGGCAGAAACCAACACAGCATTGTAAAGCAATTATATTCCAATTAAAAGATTACTTATTCAGGAGGACAAAAATATAGGAAAACACTGCTTTCTTGAGCCATTGAGAAGTGTTTAATAAGTACTGACTGGGTGAATGAACGAATTAGTGAATAGAAAGAAAATGATGTGAATGACATGAGACTTCCCTATTACTTATGGCAAAGCAGTTCCAGCTTTCACCAAATTACCAGGAAAAACACAACGTTCTTTTCTAAAGGTGTGGCACCCTCTGTGGAGGCCTTCGACAAGCTGATGAACAGCATGGTGGCTGAGTTTTTAAAGAAGAGTAGGATCCTGGCTGGTGACGTGGAGACCCATGTGAGTACTTTCTTCTGTTGTATTCTGTGAAGAGATTGACTGCTATTAAAATATTTTTAAAATAATGGTCATAACCAGGGCTGGCGAAGGATGGAGGGATTGAGACCCTTGTGTGCTGCTGGTGGGAATGTAAAAGGTGCAGCCCATATGGGAAAGAATATGGCAGTCCTGCAGAACATTAAAAACCGAATTATCATATGATCCAGCCATTTTACTTCTGGATATAGACCCCCAAATAATTGAAAGCAGTATCTCAAAGAGATATTTGTATACCCATGTTCATAGCAGCATTATTCACAGTAGCCAAAACGTGGAAGCAACCCAAGTTTCTGTTGACAGATGACTGGATAGAGAAAACATGGTCTGTGCATACAATGGAATATTATTCTTTCGTAAAAGGAAATTCTCACACAATGAAAACATGGATGAACCTTGAGGATGTTATGCTAAGTAAAGTAAGCCAGGTCATAAAAAGGTACTGTACTGGGGAATTCTGGTGGCCCAGTGGTTAGGAATTGGCACTTTCACTGGTTGGGGAACTACAATCCCACAAGCCATGCGACATGGCCGGAAAAAGAAAAAAAGTTACTTAGGATTTCATTTATATGAGGTATTTAGAGTAGTCATACTCATAGAAACAAAAAATAGAATGGTGGTTGCCAGGGGCTGGAGGGAAGGATAAAAACAGGAACTTGTTTAATAGGTATTGTTTTACTTTTGCAATGCAGACTAAACTCCAGAAGAAATTCTGGCAATCTGATGCATAACAATGTGGATATACTTAACGCTACTGAACTGTATACTTTAGAAATGGTTAATGTGATACATTTTGCATTATGTATATTTTACCACAATTTTTGTTTTTAAACTGCAGCCTGAGGAAAAACAGAGTTGTAGAATTTGATAATCTCTGGATTGGTAGAGACTTTTAATGATACCTAGGCTAGCCTCCCAGTTTAGACACTTTCTATACATTTTAAAAATCTTTAGCATTTTCCCTCTTGCGTCCTTTTAATGAAAGTAAAAGCCAAACCAATTAACAACCTAGAAGAAAAAAAAATTTATTTAAGTTCTTTTTATTCATTTGCCTTTGTTTCTTGCAGAGGATTGAATTCAAAATCCATCCGCTTATAGATTTCTCAGCAAGAGAGCATCCCGGCAAAACCATTTTCAGTATAGACTCACAGAAAATCTGATTCTTGAACAAAGTTGTGGTTTGCGGTTTAAAAAAAAAACAACTCTTTTTGCTCCTTCTTCAATTAAACGTTATACGCAACACTCAACACCAGTCTTCCAGGGGATCTGGCAACTCAAGATTATTCCCTTGGTTCCAGAATTGTAGTTAAATAGGTGTTTATCTCATCACATTTGAAATGTATTTGCTCATCACATCTAAGAAAAATGAAGATCAGTCTCATGGACCTTTTTATTAAATATTCCTGTTGAAATCCTCACTGGCAAAAGAAAGGAAGCTCTGATATGCCGGAGTTCTAGAAAAGTCTGTGTAGTAGGACCTACTTGAGATGTATCACAGAACTCTAGAATTGCCCTGATTTGTTCTTGAGCTTGATGTCTCTGTTTACAGAAACCAGGTCTGCAGTAACATGGTGGCTGAGCTTCTGATATGTAGATTCATGATCGTACTTGAAATCTAACATATAAAATGGAGTATCAGACCCAAGACACTAAAAGAGATTCTTAAATAATTGAAGAACAGTTTACTCTCTTGAAAACTATTATAATAATTATTATATTAGTATTTTTACCATTAATATTGACATTATATTATATATAATGTATACTTCTGAGGTACACAGTACATTATAATTCTTATTAGTAATGTCACAAAAATCTATATAGTGTTCTTTTACTGAGGAATAATGAAGCCTGTAAATATGTATATTTAACTTTGCATTTAAAAAAATATAGGGTTTGCATACTAAGTAATTCTCTTCAAGCTGCAGAGTAAACAGTTCTTTTAAATTCTTTGTAGAACGAAGAGAGTTATCAATAAAGTGTAGCTTGATTTATATGAAGTTTTTTCTTCTCCCTGTTCATCAGCCTGAGAACAGCATGACTCGAAGGAATATTCTCAATAATGAATAGATAATGCTTAAAGAAATTTGCGTTTTTCACTAGTTAGTTTTTTAACAAGGAAGGAAGGTGGGGAAAGAAGAAAGAAGGGAAGCAAGAGAAGAGAAAGAGAGAAAAACACTTGTCATCTGAAAATGTAGACTTGGGTTCTATAACACAAAGAGAAGTGCAGGCAGCTTTTGTCCATCTGCCCATGACTTTAATACATTGAACAAGCAGTTTATTTTTTCTCTCTTATAGAACCATGTGTCACTGACATTAAGCTTGCAGCTGCTGCCTCTCCCATAAGCCAGAAGTGGGGGTTGAACTTTGTTCCAAGAACACACCTGTTGCTTAAGGAAAAAAAAAACCCACATACCTGATTGTACAGTATGGAAATTTGAGACTGACACGAATGTGCATCATGTTAACTCCTGTCCCTGTGTGTAAAAGCTATTTCACAGACACTAACAATGAAAAAGGGCAGCCGAGCTATGATTTAACGTCTGTCTTGATGTGTTGGCTGCTGGTCGGGTTTAATTTACTGAACACTCAATAGTCTATTGACAGAACAGACCACAAAAAAAGGGAACTAATAGCTACAATTAGGAAGCTCTGTTGAACCAAAGAACATAGCAGGTTTAGAAAAGATTAGATCTTGTAAAGCTGCCTTGTATGCAGCATAAACTGAAGGGCTTATTTAAATTACCCTTCAACCCAGGAACGCTGACACAGCTTGCACCCTTTTTAAGAGATAAACAAACAATGCACAATTTTATAATAGATGTTTAGGGTAAATATAGTCCTCAATGTCAAAGAAAAGGATCCCCCAGAAACTGGGCCTACAGAATTGTAAGCCCTTGGTCAACAATCATTTATCCTTAAATGGATGAATGTGGTTTGTTTTTTTAAAAAAACAAAGCTGTCCTATTATTCATGGTATGTGTAACTAATCTTGAGTCTGTTTCTAAATGATTTGACCATCATGAAACAACTGCAAATCATATAGCTCTTCCTAACTCAACCCCTTTTTGGAGATTTATAGAATTTGCATATTAATGTTTGTAAAGGTCTGGAATGTTTATTTCTTATCATGATCAAGATGGATACAAAAGAAATATTCTTTTATTAATTGTTCAATAAAAATGAGAGACCCACAGTTTGAACAAAAGGGCAATAAAATTCAGCAAAAAAGTATAATACACTAAACACGGTAAGATTAAATGGTATTAAACAATATTATAGCTTTGAGTTCCTGGACTTTATAACAAATGGACCTATGTAGACAGTTATTATAGCTCTACTTTTAATGGGCTGTGGTTACTCTTGTCGATATTCCTAGAACTTGTTACTTACTTAAATCATCTACAAAATGTCTTGTTCATTTTATGCCTTGCTGGTTAGGTAACATGTCCAAAGGATGTGTAAGTTAAAGATGATCTCTTGTTTGTATTTGAATTTCAAAGCTGGCTCTTACTTTTTATAGCATGACCTTGAGCTAGTCCTTACCCTTCTCAGTAATGAGACTGGACCATATCACTTCCAAGGGCTCTTAGAGCCCCTTTGAGTGACTCACCCTTTGTCTCAGTGTAAAAGCATGAGGGAGTTACTCAGTTGCCAAATGAAGAGCTTGAGATAGAACAGCTTCATCACCAATATAAAGAAAAAAAAAAAATCTTGAGCCATGCCAGGGAAAGAACCTTAAACAAGCAAAACAAGCAGAAGGAAACATGTCAGAAAAAGGATACACAGAACACTAAAGATAACATATCATCCTGCTTTATGATAATATAGAAAAAAATCAGACTCCTTCATTTAAAAAGACCTTGAGAGATTTCCCTGGCAGTCCAGGGGCTAAGAAGACTCCATGCTCTGAATATAGGAGCCCAGGTTCTATCCCCAGTCAGGGAATTAGATCCCACATGCCACCACTAAAGGTCCTGCATTGCCACAGCTAAGACCTGGTGTGGCCAAATAAATAAATATAAAAAAATAAAAAATACAAATAAAAGAACTTGCAGGCTCCGTGAGTCTGTCCTTCTTGGTCTTATTGGTTCTTGCTTCTTCCTTGACATGGACCTATCCCTAGAATAAATAATGTAAAAATGGCTATATATTTATTTTACTCAGTGTATCCATATTCTTTCTTTGATTTTAGAAAACCTTTATGGGTAGTTTGTACTCAAGAAGAACAACCATTTGCATTTTTGGTGCTTTATAATCTGGGTCTATGTAGAAACCCTCCTGCCCCCACCAAAAAAAACAAAAAACAATCAGAAGCACAAGTTTGGTGCCTCCTGAGAAACCTGTATGCAGGTCAAGAAGCAACAGTTAGAACCTGACATGGAACAATGAACTGGTTCCAAATTAAGAAAGGAGTGTGTCAAAGTTATATTTTGTCACCCTGCTTATTTAACTTATATGCAGAGTACATCATGTGAAATGCTGGGCTGTATGACTCACAAGCTGGAATCAAGATTGCTGGGAGAAATACCAACAGCCTNGAGATCAAACCAGTCAATCCCAAAGGAAATCAGCCTTGAATATTCATTGGAAGGACTGATGCTAAGTTCCCAATATTTTGGCTCCCTGATGTGAAGAGCCCATTCATTGGAAAAGACCCTGGGGAAAGATTAAGGGCAGGAGGAGAAGGGGGTGACAGGGAATGAGATGGTTGGATGGCATCACTGATTCAATGGACATGAGTTTGTGCTAGCTCCAAGAGATAGTGGAGGACAGAGGAGCCTGGCATGTTGCAGTCGGTGGGGTCGCCAAGAGTCAGACACAACGGAGCAACTGAACAACAACAGCAGTGAAACAGCCCATTCCACACAGTTCCATCCTCCTCAATCTCCTGCTTGCCTTCAGTCAAATTGGCCCTCCCATTGAATAGTTTCTTGCTAATAGTTTTAGTCTGAACATTTATT